CGCGGAGCCTGACGGAGAGGGCATCAACATTCCCAACTGGGGGGTGGATTTTGTCGGACAGCGGGGCTGATGCTCTCGCAGTTGGGATGGTGATAGCTCTAACGACGCCGATTCCCTTCCCGCTTCCTCCCATCTCTCACTTTCCCCCATTTCGAGCGTTCGCTGGGCTCCCGCATGATTCAGAGCTGGCAGCAGCTGTCGGCCATCAGAGCGAATGCCTGTTTTCTCGAGCCCCGGCTGAGCGAACTCTGACTGCTGAAGCACCGACCCGATCCGACCGATCAGGGAGAGGCGCCCCCGAGGAAGGGAATACCCCGCCTCTCAGAACCCCCTCCTGCCTCCGAGAAACCTCCTTTGAAATGCGTCCAAGAGAGGGCCGACCCCCTCGAAGAGGCCTCCTCTGCGTTCTCAGGAGGCCGCCCCCCTCTGCGCGCCGCCAAGTCTGGCTGCTGCATGGGAGAAGCAGACGACAAGGGATATTGTATTATTGGTCGGCGATAACCCAGGGTGTCGGGGGGGGGGGGGGGGGGGGGCGCTGATAACTCAACCGTTTCGCTTTGGGCGTCCCCACGAATGCCCGCGCCCACCAGCGCTGCGTACCCTCTTCGGGCTTCGCCGCCGACAAAACCAGGTTCATCCAGGGGGGGGGGGCGGGTGCGCCCGATAGAAATGGGGCTCTCGCCGGACCCCGAACAAGCCGTCTCCGAGCCAGTCATGCCTCAGGGCTTCTGCGGGGGGCCAACCCCGACGGTCCGGGGCGACGATGGCAGGGGGAGAGGCCCAGTGTGAGGGGGGGGGGATGCATCGACCCCCGATCGCCCATTCATCGCCGATCGGGGCCCCGTCGCCCGCTCCGCCCAGGACCGTGCGGATTCGCCGTCGGGGGCCCAGAGGCGGTCTATCTCATCGATCACAGCAGAGTTCCTAAACCCGAATAACACGATGAGAAGGCGGCCTCGCTGAGCTCCCCGTCTTCGCATTAAGGACATTCTGGGCGGCTCGTTCTGATATATCAGCAGAAGCGACCCCCCCAATGTTTTTGGCCCTCCTAACTTCGGTCCCCTCCCAGAGGGTTAGGGTTCTCTTTTGGTTCATCACTATCGGCGATGGATCGCCGATTCCAGGTCGATGCCCCCCCCCCCCTGTGCCAGGTCACCCTCGTACGGTTGCCCCTCAGGGTGGCCCCGGTCTCCCCCCCGAGCCTCCCGCGCGTCCCCTCCCGAGGCGCCACGGTCCGCCTCTACCTCGAGAAGTACGTGTCGCCCTCGGGGGACCTCGGTCAGCACCAGTTCAAGGTCGTGGAGCCGCTGGCGGCTATCGCGCTGGAGCTGTCCAAGCTGCAGGATGCCCCCTCCTACCTCCTCCTTCCTCCCTCCTTCCTCCTCCCCTCTTTCTCCTCCTCCTTCTCCTCCTCATTGTCCTTCGCCTCCTCCTCCTCACCTCCTCCTCCTCCACCTCCTCCTCCTCGTCCTCCTCCTCCTCCTCCTCCTCCTCCACCTCCTCCTCCTCCTCCTCGTCCTCCTCCTCCTCCTCCTCCTCCTCCTCCTCCTCCTCCCTCTCCCTCCCCCTCCCTCCTCCCTCATTCCCCCCTCCCTCCCCCTCCCTCCCCCCTCCTGCTGGAGGGGGAGGGGGAGGAGGAGGGGGAGGATGCGGAGGGGGAGGTGGAGGGGGAGATGGGGGTGTGGGGGGGAAGGAGCAGGAGAGCGAGGAGTAGGGGGAGGAGGAGAGAGGAAGACGTTGGTGTGGTGTGGTGTGTCGGTGTGTGTGTGTGTGTGAGGGGGAGGAGAAAGAGAGTGTGAAGGAGGAGCAGTAGGAGGTGGAGGAGACCTGCGAACGCAAACCGGCAACGACACCGCCCTCAAGAGGACATCCCAGCATCATCCACCACGGCGACTAGCAGGAGACGGACATGAGGCTGCCCCATTATACGGCCCCGAGCCGTGGAAACCATGGCCGACCTACGCAGACGCCGTCAAAGCTGACCAGCCTGACCAGCACGGCTCACCTACGACGAATCAGGAGATTCCCCCCTGATCGCCCACAACACGAGGCAATCCTCGCGATCGGACCAGCCTAACGGCGGCCGGTGAGTGCGCTACTTCCTCATAGCATACATTTGCTCCACTGCAGATAGGGCCGCCACCTGCTACACACCCACTCCCATCTCTGCACGATCCTTTCACCGACACGTACGCGCTCACTGTAAAGACGGAAGCAGCACAGCTGGTGGTCCGGGGGTCTATTTTCTTTGCATATGCACAGCGTGAACATCCGTGGCGACAGCGTGGTTCCCACGGGGCTTTCTCACCCACTCGAGCTCATACCATAACTACAAGAAGCGCTTGGATCCCCGAGGGGCTTTCTCACCCACGGCGTATGCGGGCGTCACTAATCTCTACTCCCTACTGGCTCACCCTCTTGTATCCCATCTAACCTCCACCTTCCCCCCCTCGTGTGGTGGGGTATGGGCCAGGTATGTGGGCGGGAGGGGGCTCGGACTCACCGCATGCCCTCCTGGCAAGGGCCAGGGCGGCCGCGGCCGCCGATATGGCAGCTGCCATCAGGTCGCCAACTCCCCTCGCCCCACCTGTCAGGACTGCCCTGCATGGCACTCGCCAAACCCGCCGCCAACAACCGAACCACCGCCACAAATGGCAGAACCCCCCCACCGCGCACGGTGGAACCGCCCCAAGCAGCCATCGCTCCCATGATCTGGGAACCCTATTCCTGCCTCGGCGGGGGGGTACCAATCGTGGTGGTGGTGGTTGCGTATGTGGTGCTTCCTATGTGCAGGGGGTGAGGCCTTTCTGCTATCTACTTTGACGAGTGTGGCTGATGCTGCCTTGCACCCGCGGGAGGACCCAAACCTCCCTCAAACCTAGTGGAAGCCGCCAGGGCAGCCAAGAGGCTAACGCGCCGGGAACCCTACGCCTGCTTGCAGGCGAGGGATCCCCCAGTCGGCCTTTGGCTTGTGTGGGGATTCCAGTGAGCAGAGGCCCCGGGGCCTTCCCCTCGCAGCAAGCGGCACCCAAAGTTGCCCCGTGGAGTAGTCTCGCCACCGCGCTAACTCTTTCAGCCTCGCCACCGCGTGTCCACTCGTCTACCTTACAGCCTCCTGCCGCTCGCCGCTGGCCTGGCTTTCGCGCGCCCTTTCTAGCTCACCAGCCACCTTGCTGCCTTCTAACTCGCGCTCAGCCTGTTCACCCACGCTTCACACCTGCCCGCGTCTTGCCGACGGGGCATCGCGCTACCTGTCCAACCGCCGTGGGGCGGCAGAAAAATATTGCGCCTCAGACGAGGGGGGCCCTGGGCGCTCTCCAGGGCGCTGGCCCCAAGGGGCCACTAGACCCGAAGGAGAGAGGACTTGGCGCAGCCACGAGAAAACCGGCCCTTAGGGGCCACGCTCACCTCTTCACGGCCGCCACGCCACAGTCTCGCCGCAGCCACCTCTACCTCTTCAGCCCTTCCTCCTGTGGTTCTGATATGTGGTTGCGATGCTCCTCCTCTTCTCCCTCCCTCCTGCTGTGCTGGACCTCGATCCATAGTCTGCTCGATTTCGTTGTGCCCCCCTCGGGGGGGCCGACGGGGCGTCCCCGGGGGAAGCGGCAGCGTTCGACGAACACCATTGCCAGCAGCGCGTAGTGCTTCAGGTGGAGGAAGATGAGGGATGGGGGGCGGGGCAGGAGGAACCCTCTGACATCCGACGTCGTGCAAAGTCATCAGTGGAGCCCGGTCCCATCTTCATCTTTTGTCAATGCTTTCGAGCTGGAACGGTGCTGGAGTTTCTGGGAGTCCGACGCGGTGCAAACGCCCGTCGTGATTTTCCAATGCGCCCACATGTAAGGGGGAGAAGGACTGGCGGAGGCATTGGGCTTGTGTCTCCGAAGGAGTTCACGGGCCGCGAGTCGCCCACCGTGATCACCTGAGGTCCTGCGGCGACCAGCAAGACAAGCTCCGCCTCTGATCGAGCCCGGATGCGCCTTCCCGGCCCCCGCCCTCCCCTGTTCTCTTTTCGTTTTCTCCTCCTCTTTCTGTGGAGCAGGAGTTCAACTGCGATGGCGAGATGGAGGAAGAGGAGCAACACCAGGAGATATTGGCAGCATCTGCATTTAGGAAGTAGTCGTAGAAACAACAATGGCAGTTTTGATTGTTGTGATCGCTGTTTGTGCTGTCCGCGGTTACGTTACGACCGCAACACATGTTATGGGACGCAGCCATTAACCTTTTCATAATCGTGACCATGTTCATGTATCGTCGTCCTACCAGCCTCTCTACCACACACAATCGGTGCGTAAACTTTGTGTGTTTGCATCAGCGCGCCCCAGCTGCGTGCAACAGCGAATGCGAAATGAGCTTCACGGAACTATGGTAAAATACGCGTCAGCAGATTATTGCCCAGTTGCTTGGCACAGGGAATGGTACACATTTCGAATGGTTCTCTTGCTGCGAGCGCCAACTATGGACAGTGACCACGGTTGGCTACAACATAGAAGCGCCCAAAGCGCGCGTCGTTCGAGTGTTCATGTTCCCGGAAACGGTTTTCGCACTACAACCCGCTGGATTAAAAAGCGGAGACCGTGGGGATCGAGGAAGACACGGTTGGCCTCCCGTTAGGCCACGGGGCCCCAGGACAATGTTGGATTCGGGGCCGAGTCGGGAAAGTCAGATGCATCTCTCACCCCTTTTGATAGTATAACGGCCAAATGGGGTCAGCGTTTGAAAATGTGAGTCCGCCTGAGACTTCCGCCAACAAAAATTCAGTTCGCCTTCAATGGCGATCTGACAATTTGCCGCGGCATCTGAAAGTGGCGATTTCCGCAGAAAGAAATCAGATCCATCTCCGTGCCGCATGAGAGCGGCAATATCGCCTGAGAATTCCTCGCGGGGTATTTCCCGACCGCTTTTCACACCGCCAAAGAGTGGCGATTTCGTTTGGGCTCTCCTAACAACCGCGCGTCTCGTCCACCCCTGCGTCGCCTTTCCTCCGTTCGGGTCACGACTCTGTCTGGGAGTTATTTGGGATCGATCGAAGGTCGAAGCTTGAGTTTTTTTTCCGCTTGGCGAAGGCCCATGGGTTGTTCCTTGCCGTAGTGCCACTTCTTAATCCAGGGGGTGGTTACCAAAAAACGCTCGGTGTGGGCAGTCTCCAGCGTTCCGATGCGTGCGCTAGTGTGGAGCGTGGACAAAACATGTAAACGAGACGTGATTCAGCGCGCAGGCGGCGGTCATTACAAAAAAACGCTAGGTGTGGGCAGTCTCCAGCGTTCCGATGCCTGCGCTGGTGTGGAGCGTGGGCAAATCATGTAAAAGAGACGTGATTCAGCGCGCAGGCGGCGGTCATTACAAACAACGCTCGGTGTGAGCAGTCTCCAGCGTTCCGATGCGTGCGCAAGTGTGGAGCGTGGACAACTCATGTAAAAAGGGGACGTGATTCAGCACGCAGGCGGCGGTCATTACAAACAACGCTCGGTGTGGGCAGTCTCCAGCGTTCCGATGCGTGCGCTAGTGTGGAGCGTGTACAAAACATGTCAAACAAAGACGTGGTTCAGCGCGCTGGCGGCGGTCAACCCGCTTGATTAAAAAGTTGAGACCGTGGGGATCGATAATGCACGGTTGGCCTCCCGTCAGGCCACGGGGCCCCAGGACAATGTTGGACTCGAGGCCGAGTCGGGAAAGTCAGATGCATCTCTCACCTTTTTGAATACATATTACAACGGTCAAGTGGGGTCAGCGTCTGAAAATGTGAGTCCGCGTGAGACTTCCGCCAACAAAAATTCAGTTCGCCTTCAATGGCGATCTGACAATTTGCCGCGGCATCTGAAAGTGGCGATTTCCGCAGAAAGAAATCAGATCCATCTCCGTGCCGCATGAGAGTGGCGATATCGCCTGAGAATTCCTCGCGGGGTATTTCCCGACCGCTTTTCACACCGCCAAAGAGTGGCGATTTCGTTTGGGTTCTCCTAACAACCGCGCGTCTCGTCCACCCCTGCGTCGCCTTTCCTCCGTTCGGGTCACGACTCTGTCTGGGAGTTATTTGGGATCGATCGAAGGTCGAAGCTTGAGCCTATTTTCCGATTGGCGAAAACCCAGGGGTTGTTCCCTGCCATCGTGCCGATCACCGCTTTTTAATCCAGGGGGTGGTAGTGGCCCTTACTTTTGTTATTCGGTGATTGCCTGGCGTTTCGGGGTTTCGGCCATTGGGCGCACGTGCCCATCTTGTGCCCTCCCCGTGCGCTGGCTTGCGTTTCCGGGCTTCTTGCTGGTGGGCGTCCGTGCTCGTCCCGTGCGGTGGCTGGCGTTTCCGGACGTTTGGCTGGTGCACGCCGCTGTGCCTCCCCAAATAACACGAGCTGACATTTGAAGAGCGCCAGAAAGGCCCCAAGATGCCCCGAAGATGCCCTGAGAGGCCTAAAGCAGGCCCCAAGAGAGGGCCTCAAGACGCCCCAACACCGCCTCCAAGAGGCATCGGGGAAGCCTCCCGCGAGATTCCCACAAGCATCCAAGAATCACCCGACCTGCAACCCAGGCGCGGTGGCGGGATGAGCCGAAGGCCACTAGACAGACTCAAAGAGGGGACGTAAGGAGGGGACTCAAGGAGGGGAGAACACGACGGACGCGGACCATACTTACAAGGCCCATCTCGGGCCCCTCCCTGGGCCGTCTTGGGAGCCGCTTGGGCCCCTCTTGGGGGTTCCTGGGTCGCCTTGGGGCGGTCTTTGGCGCCTCTTTGACCATTTTGTAAGCTCTGAAGACCGAGTGCGCGGTAATGCGAACATCATACATCAATCGATGGTTTTTGACGGTGTTGGCCTCTTTGGCCGCCCTCCAGGGCATCCGAGATGGCCCAAGAGGCGCCCAAGAGTGTTCCAGGACGGTTTCCAGGGTCATCTGAAACCATGTTGGATATGCATGTCCCGAACAACGCGCCCTTGGGCCTCTCGAGCAGTCACGCGGGGACCCCCCGAGAGCGTCCAGGAGCGCTCGGGAGCGCCCAGAGCTCGGCTGCGGGACCCTTGAGGAACTCACTATTTACAGAAAGCTCGAAGGGACCTCAGGACAGTCCAAGTCGTGCCTCAGGGCACGGTGGCGTATACACACACGCACACACGCATTCACACACATGCACACAAAACACACACTCACACGCACACGCGCACACACACACACACACTACGCCACGCCACGCAGCGCCACGCCACGCCATCCCACGCCACACCACACCACGCCACTCCACGCCACACCACACCACACCACACTACACTACACCACACCACACCACACCACACCACACGCACACGCACACGCACACGCACGCGCACAAACACACGCACACGCTCACGCACACGCACACGCACACGCACACGCACACGCACACGCACACGCACACGCACACGCACGCGCAAGCGCACGCGGACACGCACACGCACACGCGCACGCGGACACGCACACGCACACGCACACGCACACGCACACGCACACGCACACGAACACGCACACGCACACGCACACGCACACGCGCACGCGCACGCTCTCGCGCACGCACGCGCACGCGCACGCACGCGCACGCACGCGCACGCGCACACACGCACACACGCACACACGCACACACGCACGCACGCACACACGCACACACGCACACACGCACACACGCACGCACGCACACACGCACACACGCACACACGCACACACGCACACACGCACACACGCACACACGCACAGACGCGCACACGCACACACGCACACACGCACACACGGACACGGACACGGACACACAGACACACAGACACACAGAGACACACACACACAGACACACAGACACACTCAGACACACAGACACCTTCACATACTCTCTCTATATATATATATATACATTATACCATTTACAGGGCTGTATGTGTATACATATGTATGTTTGTATATGTAGATCCAAATGTATGTGTGTGCGTGTTTGTGTGCGTGTGTGTGTGTGTGTGTTGCTTCTATAATTATATAAGCCGGGGAGGTGGGCCCCCCCTCTCCCCCCAAACGGGGCCCTGTGGATCCGCGGCAAGGGGGGGCCCCATGGAATGCCATGCGGGGAGTGCCCCGTCCTCGAGCGGGCGCGCGTGGAAGGGGGAGGGGTCAGACATTAGCCGCCATCCAGGAATTGCGCCATCCTCGAGCGGGCGCGCGTGGAATTGGGGCTTAGGCATTAGCTGCCATGCTGGAAGTACACCGCTCTCGAGCGGGCACGACAGAAGTTGCCTCGGAAAGGAGGGGCGGTGCTCGCAGCAGCCTGCGAGTAGGGCGGGGGGGGGCCCATATTAGAATGCAAAAACCTTTGCCAGACAGACCTCGGCAGTCTTCCACACGTCAACGTGCCAGGGGGCACGGTGGTGGATGCTTTGCAGACATTCACAGTTGCGCCTGCGGCGCGCGCGACGAGAAGACCGGGCCGCTGACCCGGAAGGTTTGTGTAGCGCGCCAATCGCGCGTCGACGCAGTGTCCGGGCGATCTTTCCCGTCGTGCAGCGGGGGGGGGGTCCGAGATGGCAGCCGAGAGCGCGCGCTGCCCGAAGCCGACGGCGAATCGAAGGGTGCAGCTATTCAAAAGGCATTTCGAGAGTGCAACGGACCCAATCGATATCGACGAGGGATTGGACGTAACCCGGGGCGGTTGCAGTCGGCGGATCTACTCCGCGCAGCACCGGAAATATTTCAAGGCCTAGGCGGAATCAGAGCCGCCCGCGGCCGCGGAGGCAATCGAGGCTGACGAAGCGATGCTGCGGAAGATCGCGTCGCACCTGGTCGTGCCAAGAAGGACAGGCTTAACGCCGTCTTCGCGAGGCGTGGGGTGCCCGATGCCCGAGTGGATTGACAATTCCATGGAACCCCACTGCGGCTGCGACGATTGCGACGAGACCCCGATGTGTTCCATTATGGCAAGATTCGCTGGGTGGACCTCCGAGGCCATGGCAGGTCGTGGGCTCGGACATTTCCGACTGGGGCGTTGGGGGCGTGAAGCTTTCAGCGGCGATCCGCGTGGGTCTTGTTCGCGTGGGGGCGGTCGCGGGTTTCAGGGAGTTGCATGTGAAAAGACACGGCGCCTACGCGTCGCTGGCGAAGTACTTGGTGTGCGCCATGGCCTGCGAAAAGGCTTCAGCGCTGTCCGATCGTGGAATGGCCATTGGCGGACCAGGATGGACATGTTGGGCGTGGCGGGCGTGCTGGAGGTCGGGCAGCAATGACAGCTGGGGGCGCTCATGTAGATAATGCAGTTGTGGAGTGGAATACCCAGGCCGTTGAGTCGACGGCGTTGGCATCGCGAAGGAGAAACCCGTGCTCGGCTGGACGGCGATTATCAAGCTAGCAGCAGCGGCGCGCATTTGCTCGGGAAACATTTCCCCAACCGGTGGATGTCTGGCCACAGTGCCAACGACGTTGACGAGACTAGCAACATGTGGGGCGACCCGCAGAATATCCACGGCGAGATAGAGTCCATCAGGCTGACGGCCAAGCAGGCCTGGATCCAGCAGTAGGCTGCGGAGGAGATTTCGAGGGCCATCAAAAGCGATCGGCAGAAATGTGTCAGAGCCTTTCGATGGGGCGCTGGGTCTGCCGCCCTCGACCTCGGGCCCGCGATATAAGGACTCCACGCTGGTGGGTCGGGGGCTCCTCCTCCTCCTCCCTCTCCTCCTCCTCCTCCTCCTCCTCCTCCTCCTCCCTCCTCCTCCTCCTCCTCCTCCTCCTCCTCCTCCTCCTTCTCCTCCTGGTTAAGTGGTTATATTGGGGCGACGCCGGGTTGCAAGTCAGCTGGCGGCAGGCGCGACGACAAGGTGATCGTCTGGATGGTTCGCGGCTCGTTCCTGCTCGGATGCGCGCCGAGGCAGTTGGGGCATTTGGCGGACGGGGGGCTGGCAGTTTCTTCGCTGACAGGCCTGGCGCCCGCGCTGTGGCCCACGACAGTGGCGAGGGCTGCCGGGGGAAACATTATCCGGGCGCAATGCTTAGATATCGCCTGGCGGGCGAGCCCGGTGGCGGGCGAGCCCGGTGGCGGGCGACCGTTCGGGGCCTCGGCGGGGCGTCGGCAATTCTGAAGACTGGTGCGAGAAGGCAAGAGAGGTGGGCGCGAGCGAGATCCCGACGGACCTCTGGGATCACGTTCGGACCGGGCCCAGTGGAGTTCGCATGTTTCCGAGGCTGAAGCTGTTTGCCCCGGGCGAGGTGGGCGACCGACCCGCGGGCGAGGGGGCCGCGGGTCAAGACGGGCGCGCCGGGGTAATCTTCGATGGGGGGGAGTGGCAGTCAGCGGACGACGAGGGGCGCGTGCAAATGTTCTCTCAGGCTGTCTTGGGTCCATCCGGAGGCTCTTCTGGGGCAGATTGGCGCCCTCTCGAATTCGTTTTGGCGCTCTCTTGAATTCGCCCTGGGCTGTCCAAGGGCCCCCAGGATTCGGTGACTAACTATTGTGCTCAGCTGGATGCGGTTCGAGAATCAAACGCGTGTGGGGTTCAGCAGGGGTCATTCCGCGCAGATTCGACGTCCGAAGCTTGTTGGCCTTCGGGGGCGTCCCTCGTTGCCGCGGCTGGATGCCCCTCGAAGGACATGATGTGGCGATGGGATGTCCATGTTCACCGGGGTAGGCTGTTGGAAAACGGCCGGCGAGGACGTGGACATGATGAGGAGGGCGAGGATGAGCGGGGGTACGAGACGGGGGGCGTGGAAGAGGAAGGGGGATGTTGAAGGGATTGCGACCGACGTCAGCAATGTCGCGCCGCCCGTTCGCCGGGCACCGTGACCAGAGAGGGAGCTAATGGCAGGAAGCCAGCGGCCCAGAAAAGGAACGATCAAGGTGTTGCTGGCGGCGGCGAGACTGCTAACGCGTCCATCGACGAGGCAGGACGGAACGGCGGTGCTCGAGCCGCAGGGTGGCAAGGCCACGCTTGGGGCCCGCACGGCGAAGTCTGGGGCGCCCATGGGTGGGGCCACGGACAGGGCTCGTCGAACACAGCAGGGCGCGAGGGCGACGACGAGGACGAGGAAAACGAAGACTTCGAGGGCGAGGTGGCCAGGCGCAGAAAGGAGGAGTCGGAAAGGAGGGGGGAGGAGGAGCAGCGGCGGAGAAGGCAGGAAGGGGAGGGGACAGGCACAGGAGGAGGATGCGCGAGGAGGAGGAGGAGGAGGAGGAGGAGGAGGAGGGGGAGGAGGAGGAGGAGGGAGGGAGGAGGAGGAGGGAGGAGGAGGAGGAGGAGGAGGAGGAGGAGGAGGAGAGGCGGCGGCGCCACACAGATGACGAAGGGCGCCGCGCGCTGACGCAAGCAGCGTTCGAGGAGCGCGTGGAGGTCTGGCGGACGTCCGAGGGCGCCAATGGGGGCCCTTAGTTGTCCTCTCTCAGAAGCTGGGGGCGGTGTGTTCGTCGAGTCGCCTTTGGTGGTTGCGGTTCGCAGAACCAGGTGTCAAACGGAAGTCCGGAACGAGAGACAAATCATGTTCGTGCGCCACTGGCAACCACCTGCAGTCGAAGCGGCAAAACGGAGAGGGACGCGCTGTCCAAACGGTTCAACTTCGGTCGGCAGTTGCGGGGTTGTTCAGACTGTAGTGGCAACGCATCGAAAACGGAGGACAAACAGGGCGGGTTTTTCCCGACGTGGCGACGGATTGTGAGTGGCAGCAGAAAACCATCCGCCCACGAATGCCACTTCTGAAGTGTAGAACCGAGGCTCCAGGATCCGCGCGCTCGACAGTGACCAGCGGCCAAGACGGAAAGAAAGCGTCGGATCCGAAAACGATGGCTGTGCAGTCGCCACGCAGAGTAAGGTTGAGCCTTTTTCGAATTCTAGGCGAGGGGGGGCGCTTCTCTTCCAGCGCGCGAGAGGAGAATATAATGATTTGGGGAAAAGGTGGGGGAGGGCCCACCTCTTCCCGCGCGGAAAAGGAAGATGGCGAGACATCCGAGTTCGGGGTGCGGGGTGCTCCCCCCCTGCCCGCGCGGAGTGGGGCATAAACGAGAAATTGTTCACGCTTCGCGAATCCCCACCAGCCCATCCTAAAACAGCCATTTTAGCAAAGAGTACCGACTGTCGGGATTTGTTGGTCATCTTTTCAGCAATGATGCCCAGAGGAGTTGCTTTGATTCGATCAGGGAAGTGTGGGAGCATACAGAGAAACGAAGGACAGGGGATGCCGCCATATCCCAAGAGGGGAGGATGGAGGAGGAATCGGAGGAGGAGGTGGGGGAGGGGAGGAGGGAGGAGGAAGAGGGGGAGGCGGACGAGGAGGGGAGGACGAGCAGAAGGGCCAGAGGCCTCTTGGATGCATCGCGGAGTCTCTTGGGATGTCTTTTGGAAGCCTCTTGGAGGCCTTTTGGGGCGTCTTGGGGGCCTCTTGGCGGCCTCAGGGGCTTCTCGGAGCGTCTTGGGTGCCTTGGGGGAGCCTCTTCGGGCCTCTGGGAGCCTCTTGGGGGCCGTTTGGGGCGTCTTGGGGGCCTCTTGGCGGCCCCAAGGGCTTCCAGGAGCGTCTTGGGGGCCTCGGGGGAGCCTCTTGGGGCTTCTTGGGGGCCTCTTGGGGGCATCTTGGGGGCCTCTTGGAGGCCTCTTGGGGCCTCTTGGGGCTCTTTGGAAGGAGTCTGGGAGGTATCTTGGGGTCATCTTTCGGGCGATCGATCACAGATGGGGCGAGCATTTTTCTCCCTCCCCCCGTCGGGGCCACGATCCTCGTGAGGGGTGTCGAATTTGAGCCCTCCCAGGGGTCGAAAAAGACCCCTCCAACGACCCGCGGAAGGACCTCTCCAGGCCCAGGGGGAGGGGGTAGGGGGAGGGGTAAACCCCTCCCCGAAAGGGGAAGAAGGGGGTTGAGAACAGAGCGGGCTCCCTAAACCACTCACGCCCAAAGGGCTGGTGGGATTCAAGGTCAGGGGGGGGGGGCTCTTCCTCTTCCCGCGAGGAAGGAGGGAGATACAAGAGGAATGAGAAAATCATTCCTATTTCTGAAGGGGGGTGCTCCTCCACTGCCCGCGCGGAAAAATGTGAAGAGAAAAGAAATCCGAGTCCCGGGGGGGGGGGTCCTCCTCTGCCCGCGCGGAACAGAAAGAGGGCGAGAAATCCGAACCGAGTTCTCGTGGTGGTGGTGGTCCTCTTCTGCCCGTGCGGAAGGGGGAAGAGAAACGGTATTCGGGTATTGGGGGTGGTGGTGGGTTTTTCCCTTGCTCGTCCTTTCCTCTTTCGTGTGCTTGTGTGTGTGTGTGTGTGTGTGTGCGTGTGTGTGTGGGTTCCTCCTTGTCGGCTCCCCCCCCCTCCGCGGTGGCTGGGTTGTTGTTCCTTGGGTATTGTTCCCTCAGACTGTACTTTGGGGCTTCTTGAGCCGTCTTGGGGTGATCTTTGGAGCTTCCTGGGTAGCATTGGAGCGCTGGCTGCCCGAAGAGGCGAGCGCGCTGAATCCTCCACAAACCTATGGCATATCAATGATTGTTGCCTTTGGGGGGCCCTTGCGGAAGTGCTCTTGGGGCCTGTTTGCGGCGCCTTGGAAGCGTCCTTGGCCGTTCAGGGGCCATCCACCGCGTGTTGGAACGATCGTTCGGCGACCCGCGGCCCTACCGTCTTGGGGGCCTCTTTAGGCCCTCTCGGCCCTCGTGCTCGCGCTGCTCGCAGCTTGCGGCGCGGCGCTGGATGCCTTGTGTGCGCCGACCCAAGGGGGCATATTCATATGTATGTACACATATATATAAATATGATGAATGTGATGATGATGATGATGCTGATGATGATGATGATGATGATGATGATGATGATGATGCTGATGATGATGATGATGATGATGATGATGCTGATGATGATTATGATGATGATGATGATGATGATGATGATGAAGCTGATGCAGATGATGATGATGCTGATGATGTTGCTGATGATGCTGATGCTGATGATGATGGTGGTGGTGATGATGATGATGAGGATGAGGATGAGGAGGGGGATGGTGATGATTATGATGATGATGATGATGGTGGTGGTGATGATGATGATGAGGATGGTGATGGTGATGATGATGCTGATGCTGATGCTGATGCTGATGCTGATGCTGATGCTGATGCTGATGCTGGTGATGATTATGATGATGATGATGATGATGCTGATGATGATGATGATGATGATGATGATGATGATGATGATGATGATGATGCTGATGCTGATGATGATGATGATGATGAGGAGGAGGAGGAGGAGGAGGAGGAGGAGGAGGAGGAAACAGGAGGAGAGGAGGAAACAGGAGGAGGAGGAAGCAGGAGAAGGAGGAGGAGAAGGAGGAGGAGGAGGAGGAGCAGGGAAGAGGAGGAGGAGGAGGAGGAGGAGGAGGAGGGAAGGGAGAAGGAGGCTTCTTGTGAGCCTCTTGGGACACAAAGAAACAGGCAGAGAGAGAGAGAGAGAGAGAGACGAAGAAACAGGCATAGAGACAGAGAGATATACAGAGAAAGAGAGAAAGAGAGAGAGAGAGAGGGACAAACAACATGGAAAGAGAGAGAGAGAGAGAGATACAGAGGAAGAGA